ATTGCAGCAAATGCAATGTATTTTTCATTCACATGTGTGCTTCAGTCCCACCATCATTCAATTAGAAACAAGGGAATGGAAGACAGCACTACCAGAAACCTGCTTTTCTTGGATTTATTTTTAAATTGAATTCTTCCATTTATAAATGATGCCTCTGTAGGAACTTTCCACAGACAGTCATCAGCCCATGACTTAAGAAGAATGGATCACATTTTCTATCTCCAAGGCAGCTGAGCTTAGTAGCTAAATATATTCATCATACAGGTAGATGAATCAGAGGCCAATGAACTATATTTCCCTTCATTAATATGTAGTCACAGGTTGGCAGATAAAGATTGTTCGTATGGAAAGGGTAGGGTTTTTTTCAACTATTCTATTGATATTTAGTGTTCTGCAATGAAGAAGGAGAAAGCCTCTATTGGGCATGAAAAGCTCTGCCACGGCCTCTTTGAAAGAGGAGGAACATGCCACGAATCTTAACAGCAGAATCACAAAAGGTCTGCACTATGTATTTTAGTCGTCTAGGTATGTATTGATCTCACTACCTCTGAGGATGCTTGCCATAGATGCAGGCGAAAYGTCAGGAGAGAATGCCTCTAGAGCAAGGGTCCTCAAACTTTGTAAACAGAGGGCCAGGTCACAGTCCCTCAAACTGTTGGAGGGCCGGATTATAATTTGAAAAAATACGAATGAATTCCTATGCACACTGCACATATCTTATTTGTAGTGCAAAACATAYATTAAAACAATACAATTATTAAAATGAAGAACAATTTTAACAAATATAAACTTATTAGTATTTCAATGGAAAGTGTAGGCCTGATTTGGCTGATGAGATAGGGTTGTTGTTGTTGTTGTTGTTGTTGTTGTTGTGTGCTTTCAAGTCATTTCAGACTTAGGTTGACCCTGAGTGAGGGCCGGGTAAATGACCTTGGAGGGCCGTATCCGGCCCCGGGCCTTAGTTTGAGGACCCCTGCTCTAGAGCATGGCCATATAGCCCGAAAAAACCTCCAACAACTCAGTCTAGGTATGTTTGGGCAGTGCAGCGGGATTGCTATTATGAGACCAGAAGGGTGGAAAAGAATAGTTTATATGGCTCTAACCAGTTGGCTTGTGTATTCCTGGTAAACCGTGATCTGTTTCGGTGTCCCAGATTTCAGTGGGGGCCCTGATCCATTTTTCGGGAGCCTCCCAAATTCGGGAGAGCAGATATGTTTTCGCTCTGGGATGCCGAAAGATCCGTTTTTTATCCGGTTCATTATGGGGGCGAGCTTTTCAGGCTTCACTTCCCATAATTTTAGGCATTTAAGCTATTTTTACTCTAGAGGAGAGGTGCTGCAGGCACCCGCGTTAAAGGAGGGCTTCTTAAAGCTGTTTCTACTCAGAAGGAGAGGCGCTGCAGGCACTGGTGTGCATGCTTTCTCTCCCAGCCTGCATCACACCACACACTCTTTCGAAGGCATTTAAAGGAAGCATCTTAAAGCTGTTTCTACTCTATAGAAGAGAGAGGTGCTGCAGGCCGGTGTGCACACTTTAAGGAGGCTTCTTACCTGTTCCTACTCTAGAGGAGACTCAGGAGAGGTGCTGCAGGCAGGCACATATGCTTCCTTTTCCAGGCCTGCGCCATACCATGACTCTTTTCAAGGCATTGAACGGAGGCTTCTTAAAGCTACTCTAGAGAAGAGAGAGGTGCTGCAGGCAGGTGCCCATGCTTTCTCTCCCGAACCTGCACCATGCCATGCACTCTTTCCAAGGCATTTTAAGGAGGCTTCCCCATGTCCAGGTAAGGAAGAGCAATGACCTGAAGCTATCGGGCATCCTTTTTAAAAACCTCTTTTTTCCTGGCATGTTTTAATCTCCTTTCTGCTTTGGGTGTAACGCTTCCTTGCAGCTGTTTCTACTCTCTACTCTAGAAGAGAGGTAACTGGTAGTAGTTTTCAGGGATTGAGGGTTTTCTTTTGTTTGCTGGATTTAATAAAAAAGATTGAACTGTGAGACCAAAAAACAGAGGAGGAGCCATTATCGGCTCCCACTTGTTTTCGCTGTGGGCAGATTTTTGTACCGGAAGGGCCCTTACCGTTGTGTGCTCCCAAAGGTACTGAAGGTACCAAAGGAAAATAGAGCTGAACACAAGTCTGCTAACCAGCTCAGAGAAAGGATTAAACATAATGTCATAAATGAATTTTTCTTCTGAAAAAGGTTCCAGAATCCGATACAAAGGCAACTGTTGTTCTGGAGAAAGTGTGCATGAGCCTCTAGTCCAGTCTCATCTCAGCTTTATTTAGGCAATAAATCCAATGCATTAATGTAATGATGATTGATAGATAGATAAACGGATGACGATTGTTGAGCACTGAACTACAACTCTGGAGACCAGGATTCAAATTCTTGCTTTCCATGCAAACCTACTGAGTAATCCTGGGGAAATCACATCTCAGCTTCAGAAAACTAAGAAAGCATTATATGTTCCCTCGTAAAGTCCCCGGAAAATGACCTGAAGGCAAAACAACAAATTAATGTTTGAACCTGAAGTAGAGTCACTATTCCATTAAGATCCAGGCCATCCACCACATTTTGCAGGTTAACATTTTAAAGCACACGTGAGAACCTGTGGAAGACCAGAGGGCCACATTAGCCTCCCAAGAAACCTAGGAGAGCCACATATCCCACAATATTGACTGGTCCTCAATCATCAAAACTTTATTTTGCTTCCCTATGTTCCTAAATCCCTCCAAAGAGCCATGGAGGGTGTTATCATCATCATGTATTGGGGTCTTCATGGGTCATATTAAGTCCAAGAAAGGCCAGAAAGATAGCCTTTAAAAAGCCTCTTATAAAAGACACATCATAAACAAAATGTACAATTTTTAAAAACCACTTCCCACTGAAAGATAACTTTATAAAAACCTTTCTTACCAAAGCCATTTTAAAAATAACTCCATCAAAACGTGCACTGTTTTTAGGATGTTTGCCTTCATCATGACTTTAACCTCCTCTCTTGTGGAATGAGTAAGCGAACTTTCAAAATTGCAGCTCTGTTATCAACATTTTAAGCACCCATTGATATATATATATATAAATGCTCTGTGCATAATGAGTACCTTAAAAACAAAAGAACCAATGAACAAAATCACACCAAATTTGGCAACAAAACGTCTCACTAGACAAGGAGTGACCTTCCCTCAAAAAGTTATGATTTTGTTATTTGGGAGTGGTAGTTGCTGGGATTTATAATTCACCTATAATCAAATTCTGAACTCCAGAAACGATGGAATTGAACCAAACTTGGCACACAGGACTCCCCTGACCAACAGAAAACACTAGAAGGGTTTGGTGGGCATTGACCTTGAGTTTTGGAGTTGTAGTTCACCTACATCTAGAGAGCACTGTGGACTCAAACAATGATGGATCTGGACCAAACTTGGCACGAATACTCAATATGCCCAAATATAAACACAGATGGAGTTTGAGGGAGCATTCCAAACACCACAAATGATGAAATTTGGCCAAAGATCCCACACAGAACCCCCATGACCAACAGAAATTCTGTGTTTTCTGGTGGTCTTTGTTGAACCTTCTGACACCCCCCCCCCCCCCCCCCCCGGTCTTGACTTCCCAGGTTGAGAAATGCTGCCTTACGGCCATCCAGTCCAACTCCCTTTACCAGGGCAAGAAAACATAATCATAGCCCTCCTGACAAAGGGCCATCCAGCCATTCACACACACACACACACATATGTATATGACAGATGCAGTATCAAAAATTTGAAAGGGACCCTTAAAAGAAGGACAATTATATGTTGCATCTTCCAGAGTAAGCAAACCAGACAATCTCCACATCAACACTGGCAAAGAAACAGCAAGAAATACTGTTTACCCACAAGCATAAATACATTACATATATTAGAAACCAACACTTTCTCATTACTTTATTTGCCAGATCACCAGACTGGGCCACAGCAACGCATGGCAGGGGATGGCTAGTCACCTCTATAGCCTTTGAGCACCTCTTTGTTATAATTTCTGGGGAGCTGCTTATTCATGAAGTAATTGCCAGACAAATCAGCCCAAGAAGAAAGGTGACTATGAGCCTGAAAAATCCTCATAAATCCAGATGTGGTCTTTGTGAAAAGGAAATTTCTTAATAACCTGACTAGATTGCCAGATGTCCCTTATTTGAGAGCAGAAAACCTCTTATTTACTTGACTGGTAGATGAGGTAAAGGTAAATGTTTTCCTCTGGGGTGGTGGTGCTCATCTCCATTTCTAAGCCGAAGAGCCAGCATTGTCCATAGACGCCTCCAAGGTCATGTGGCCAGCATGACTGCATGGAGTGCTGTTACTTTCCTGCTGGAGTGGTACCTATTGATCAACTCACATTTGCTTGTTTTAGAACTGCTAGGTTGGCAGAAGCTGGGGCTAACAGCGGGAGCTCACGCTGCTCCCCGGATTCAAACCTGCAACCTTTTGGTCAGCAAGTTCAGCAACTCAGTGGTTTAATCCACTGCGCCACCAGGGATTCTGAGGGACTGGTAGGTATCCCTTATTATAAAAGATGTCTCCTATTAGAAGACTGGAAACCTTTCCTTTATATAGACTGGACAAGATGTCAACAACTATACATTTCGGAGTGCAGGCCCTTCATAACAGCAAAAATATGTGCACCAAGTAATTTAAGAACGTGGACAATATGTTGATTTTACAGAGAAAACCTAACTCGGTCAACTTAAATCTATACTTTCATTTGATAGTTAGGTAGAGTCCTAACTTGTTAATAGCTAGTTCTTAGTTCTCAGCTCTGCATGTTATGAATTTTGATGGTCTCTTATTGCTATTTTGGGAACTTGCCAAGACTTAAACCAGACATGGTAGAGTCAGGATGGGCTAGTCTGGTTCCCGAGCTCATTTCAAAAACTGCTGCGTGGCCCTCGTTCCACGTTCTTCAACCACTGAGCAAGGCATTCCTGAGATGAAAGGGTTTTTAAATCATTTGAAGACAAGATGGACCTGGTGCCAAAGCTGTAAGTGGACATTCAGCATGGAGTGAGGAAAGGAAGGGAGCAGGAGATGGTTGGAAGTATATAGGTAGGGGAAGATATGTGTGCTTTTCACCTACATAGTATGGGGAACCAGTGAACACAGGGGTAAATAATAGTCACAAGTATTCCCTATTTTTTGAAAAAGGTCAAATGCTGCTAGTTTTCTTATGCCAGTCATTTTTTCAATAGCAGAAACTGGTACTACAACATTTTTTTGCAAGGTTCAACAAAAACAAAACTTTTTGCATACGAAAAACTTCACAAAACCTAACTAACGGTCAACAACTGAGTAATTGCTCTTATGGCTGATTTGGTGCCTATTAGTACCAACAGTTTCAGGAGAGATAATTGTATTCAGAATAGGTGGAAAGTAAACATGATTTGCTGTACTCGATGTCTCCATTTTATTGCTTTTTCCCAACTTGACTATAACTAATAATTCAACTTCTTGGTAAACACATTGATTTCATGGGTCTGCTTTAGCTAGGAGAAACAACAGGACTCTTGAGTTATGCGTGCAGCCATTTGAAGAAAAGAGCTCAAATGAAACAGGACAGGATGTTTCAGAGTGAAAACATGAACACAAGAGCCAAAGCAGCCTTGCTGTTCTGAAAATAGTTTGTTGCATTTGAGAATTTTTGCACTTCAGGTTTATTTCAGAAGGTTAATGGGGTTCAGGAAGAAAGTGCAACCTCAGATGGGAAATTGTGCAAGGAGGAGGTATGTCCCTCTGTGTTTGGAAATGTGGGGAAAGTTTCAGTTTAGAATGTGTGGCATTTTTATGCAAAACTTTGCATTTATCTTCAGGGGCATTTCAGGTTCTCAGAAAGTTTACTTTTTTGGAATACGGGTCCTCAAATCCCCTAATCAACCTGGGCAGTGGCTACAGTGGCTGCAAGATACTAGGCACAATAGCCCACAAAAGTTATTCTGACTCTGGCCATGTTCCAGAAGCATTCTCTCCTGACGTTCCACCCGCATCAATGGCAGGCGTTCTCAGAGGTTGTGAGGTCTGACTCTTCTTGGTGTCTATTAATTTTCAGGATGGATAATTATAGCTAAGTAAACCTTATTCAGTTTTATCTCATTAGGATACCTCTTTGTTTGTTACGTTTTCCATTTTTCTTCAGCCATTTATTTAATTAAGATCTTCTGGGGAGGCCCTGCGCTCGGTCCTGTCACCATCACAGATGTGTTTGGCGGGGACGAGAGACAGGGCCTTCTCAGTTATTGCCCCATGGCTATGGAACTCCCTTCCTAATGAGATCAGGTCAGCCCCCTCCCTCTTGTCTTTTAGAAGGATGATAAAAACGTGGCTGTGGGACCGAGCCTTTGGGACTGTGCAATGAGGCAGCGATAGGAACCCTTACTATGCTTAGTATGCCAACCAAATTCAATATGATTGTTGAGACTAGAGGATTTTAACATCAAGATAAGTGATTTAAAAGCTTTTGTATGAGTATGGTCTAGTATGTTTCGGCACTGAATGTTTGCTGTTTATATGTTGTGCTCTGCCCTGAGTCTCCTTTGGGGTGAGAAGGGCAGAATATAAATGCTTTAAATAAATAAATTAAATAAATAATAATTATTTATTTTAAAGAAAAAAACTATACCAAAGATCCCAGAACATGACTATTTCTACTTTTTTCTTTAAAAAGGTCTCATATGATTTACCGTCGTACATTAAAAGTAATATCAAATTGGGGCCCATGGACATGTATGAAAGCAAATGTACCAATTCATCATTTTGGGGAGGAAGTGGAGAGGAAAAGATACCTATATGCACAAATAATGTACAGGATAATATGAAAAGGGTAATCAGTGTGGACTGGAAGCCTGTTGGGGAGTTATGAATGCATAACTTGGAGTTACACATTTGTAACTGTTTGGTATTCACGAGCTATTTTTGAGCACATGCAGGGATCATGAAAGTCCTCCAGTCCTCACTAACTGGGAATCAGGGGTTCGGTTAGTTAGGATTTGAAAAAGGACGCCATGATATGGTGGGTTAACCAACAATGGCAGCACCAACAATGTGGCATGCAGTTTGAGATGTTATGTCCCGCAAATGCCAGCAAAAGGCAGGCTATTTTAAGAATGTATTTCTTTATTCATTCATAGTATTTATATTCCACCTTTCTCACCCTGAAGGGGACTCAGAGTGGATCACAGAACACATATATACGGCAAACATCTAATGCCTTTATACACTGACAAGACAGACAACTGTTCATAGGCAGAGATATATTTCGGCTTTACCATCTTCGGCATCTTGGAGGCTGTGCTCAGTTCTGGTCACAAAGGGGTGCTGTCGCTCCACCTTCTCTGCCAAAGAGCTTTGTTCGTAAAGTTCCTCCTTGATTGAAACTCAAGTGTTTTTCTGGCATTTCCTTGTGGATGCCTTAAACGCCTCCCTGCTTAAGCGGTACCTATTGATCTATTGTTTTTGAAACTGCTAGGTAGGCAGAAATTGGGCTAAAGGCCAGGAGCTCACACTGACCCGGGTTTCGAGCTGTCAGCCTTTCAGTTGGCAAGATTTACTGCAGCTGGCAGTTACCCTGCTGTGCAAAACAGCCCCGCCCCCATTTATCCCTTTAATTTGAATAGTACTTAAAAGTATAAAATATTTGGGACTGTCTCTGAAATCATTTCCTTGTTAGTAAGCCCCTATAAGCCAAGAAGATTTATTATTACTTACACTTTTCTCTAATGAGGAAAAGACTACAAATAGGATTCTTTTCCTCTCTTCTGTGAGGTAGAACAGAGTAAATGTGCATGTGACCAGCCCCAAGTCACCAAATGAATTTCATGACCGAGTCCCAGTTCACGGGCCCTTTCATACAACACTATTTCATAGAACACCAGTGGTCCACCTGGTATTACAGTGCTATAACAATGTAATCTGGAGTTCTGTGGTTGAAGATTTATCTACTAGAGAATTTTTCTGGTGTCTCAGATCAAACTACAAATCCCAGAATTTAGTAGGAGGGAACTATAGTATTTTACAGTAAGGTAGTAGCGCTTCATAGTCTGATTCCCATATCTGCAGGACTTGAAGTGAATCTACAGATAATAGCAAACCCTAGAATATTATAAAACCCCAATGGAGAATCTAGAAAAAGGCCTAAAAAGTTTGCTTGTCCGAACATATCTCCCACTACAATCCACCTAGGGCCCTAAGATCATCTGGGGAGACCCTGCTCGTTGTTCCCCCATTGTCACAATCACGTCTGGCGGGGATAAGGGACAGGGCCTTTTCTGTGGTGCCCCCCCCCCCGGCTATGGAACTCCCTCCCGAGTGAAATTAGATCTGCTGCATCCCTCTTGAACTTCTGGAAACAAGTAAAATCCTGGCTATGGGATCAGACCTTTGTAGATTAGGCTGACTTGCTGGCATGTTGACTTATATAGAACTGATGGACTGCCCCTTGGATGATGATTTAAACTGGTGACCGCTGACTGACTGATTGTTTTTATACTGTTTTATATTGTTTAAACTGTTTGTACTGTTTTATATTGTTACTAGCTGCACCCCGCACGCGTTGCTGTGGCGTTGCTGTGGCCAACTTCCTTCCTTCTCTATCTCTTCCCTTCCTTCCCTTTTTTCTTTCTCTTCTGCTGTCTCTCTTTTCTTCCTTCTCTCTTTCCTTCTTTCCTTCCCTCCCTCTTTCTCTACATCTTTCCCCCTTCCTTCGCTCCCTCTTTCCTTCCTTCTTTCCCTTTTTTCTTTCCTTCTCTCCTTCCTTCTCTAACTTTCCTTCCTCCCTTTTCTTTCCCTCCTTCTTTCTCTTCTTTCCTTCTTCTCTACTTCCTTCCTTCCTTCCTTCCTTCTCCCTTTGCTTCCATGCTTCCTTCCTTTCCTTCCTTCTCTCTCTCTTTGCTTCCATGCTTCCTTCTCCCTTTCCTTCTTTCTTTCCCTCCCTCTTTCTTTTCTTTCTTTTTTCCCTTTCTTTTCTCCCCTTCCCTCCCTCTTTCTTCCCTTTTTTCTGTATTGTCATTTAGCTTTTCATCATTTAGCTTTTTGGGGCTTTTTAAGTCCCTTCTGCTGTGTTTTTCAGTGTTTTATGAGTGAAGGACATACATTGGGTTGTTAGGTGTATTGTGTCCAAATTTGGTGTCAATTGGTCCAGTGGTTTTTGAGTTCTGTTAATCCCACAAACAAACATTACATTTTTATTTATATAGATTTTATTATGTGCCATTAAATTGTATATCTATGTTTTTGATGTGGGTGCCATGGGGTGCCGATTTGTTAGCTGTCCTGAGTCCATCTGCGGAAGTTGAGATAGGACGGGATATAAAAGCCTGAAATAAATAAATAAATAAATAAATAATAAAAAGGGCAAAGTTTGTTGGACGCAAATAAATGAAACTACAGACACTGGTTCCACGGATTCTAGGCTACTACTGTAACTGTGTAGTGTGGTAAGGCTAAAAGGTGATTCTAAGTCACATCACACTACACTTTACAGCCGGATGCTCCAAACAACACTTGTGGGACTCAGGTACTGAGCTGCATTTTCCTCTTCCTAATGTGCTCTTGCAAAACCTTGAATGATGCAAAATATCAATCTCTCATACATGTGTGTGAGAGAAAGAGAGATCAGAATGGGTTTCTTGTGGTGAGTTTTACCTCTTCCTTCTCATGCGCTCTTCCTTCTCATGCGCTGAGGTCACGCCCCGAGATCACCGTGCGCAGAAACACCACATTCCCTTTCCCAGGAGAGGGCAAAGTGCCAGACAGGTCTGGGCCCATCCCACAAACCACAGTGGAGAGAGAGAGAGAGAGAGAGAGAGGCGTTGTACAAAAGGACCTGAACTTCCTCTTCACATTGCATTGCCTTCAGTGCTAACTCTGCATCGGTCTCTCTCTCTCCTGAGCAGAGAGATGAGTCGCTGTGCAGAGCACCTGAAGGGCTTCCTGGCCCGAGTGGAGGCTAAAGCCGGGCAGGAGAAAGGGCAGCTGGCCGAGGAATTCCAGGTGAGTCTCATGGTGGAGAGGGAAGCAAGCCCTTCATCCTCACTTCTTCTCCATGCTCCTAGTGTCTACACTGCTGGCCACAATAAGGGATCTTCCTTAATGATGGGCAGGCTGACTGAGAGCACATACAGAATGACAGAAAAATTCCCATATTATGTCTTTATTTCTTAGAATCATAGAATCATATAATCATAGAGTTGGAAAAGACCTCATGGGCCATCCAGTCCAACCCCCCGCCAAGAAGCAGGAATATTGCATTCAAATCACCATGGACAGATGGACATCCAGCCTCTGTTTAAAAACTTCCAAAGAAGGAGCCTCCACCACACTCCGGGGCAGAGAGTTCCACTAGTAGTCTAGCATGCTGGCTCTGCTGACCATGTGTACTGTGTGTAGTGTATACTATAAGGTGCCTTCTGTGGTAATCTGGTGTAAAAACATCGTAATGAGCTCGATTCCTCCCGTAAATCGATTTAGTTTGGGGAGGACTATCTCCTTTCTTGTAGTTTGAAGCCATTGTTCCGCGTCCTAGTCTCCAGGGAAGCAGAAAACAAGCTTGCTCCCTCTTCCCTGTGGCTTCCTCTCACATATTTATACATGGCTAACATGTCTCCTCTCAGCCTTCTCTTCTTCAGGCTAAACATGCCCAGCTCCTTAAGACACTCCTCATAGGGCTTGTTCTCTCTTCTGATTTTATACTGAGTTAAAATAAATTGAATTTGGAAGCTGGCATGAAAAGTCTCAGGCTGGATCCACGCTGCCCTACAAGCCAGGATCTGCTTTAAACCAAATTATATGAGTCTGCCAGATAATCTGGGATCAGATCCTGGCATATAGAGTAGTGTAGAAGGCTCCACTTATTATATCAGAAACTTACAGCAAATATTGTGGAATTAATAAATTGTATGGATTTCAAAAGGCACTTCCACACAGCCATATAATCCAGAATATTAAAGCTGAAAATCCCACAATATCTGCTTTGAACACAGCCATATATTCTAATTCAAATACTGTAGGTTTCTATTCAGTTGTGTGTAAGGGGCCTAAAAATTGTGGTTTTACTATTGTAATTGTTTGTATTGGCATCATATCGGTGGCCAATGTAAGACATTGAATCTTGGCATTATTTATGTGTAAACCGCTTTGAGTCCCCCCAGGGGTGAGAAAGGCGGTATATAAATACTGTAAATAAGTAAATAATTAAATAAAGTGGATAGAAGTGATTTTAATATTTGCATATATTTATGGTTTTATGTCCTGGCATTGATTGTTTACCGTATATACTGTATGTTGTGCTCCGCCCTGAGCTCCCAGTGGGGTGAGAAGGGCAGAATATAAATGTTTTAAATAAATAAATAAATAGGATCAGAGACTTTTGATACCGGTTTCCCAGATCTGTTTCTTTTAGCACAGTATAAAATTGGAGCGAACGGGAACAAAACCTGAGCTGGCAACAGAGTTACCTGCATTCTTCCTGCCAGGTTTTGCGTATTTGTACACAATAGACAAAAGTCCAACCCATGTAGGGGGTTCCTGCTTCCGCATCTCTCTTCCAAGAACAAGTTAAATTTCTGTTGAATTTCTGCCTAACTTAGCAAGGACCATGGCTGGGGGGGTGGGGGGGGGGGTTGCTCATTCACCTGGTCAGTACCTGTACAGAATTGGCCTACTTTAAACACCTCCAAAAAACAATTCTTTGGCTCATGTTTTTCTGCCGTGGATTCCAGTTGAGACACAGGTGTGTGCTGCGGTGGCCCACCTTGCTTTTCATTCAATCACTCTTGAATTATGCCCCTTCTGCTAATGCTAATATATGTCAAAGACATTACGTGCATGAGACAGAATAAAGAGGGCTAGCATGCTGCAGTTGCTAGACACCATGAGACAGGTCCTCAACCACCTCCTAGTAACTGTGGACTCTCATATTTCCACTGTTGACAATGTAAATTGATTTGTCAGGCTAAAACAATGTCAGTAGCAGAGATGGGAAATAGGAGTATAGTGTCTAGATCAGTGGTTCTCAACCTGTGGGCGCCCAGGTGTTTTGGTCTACAACTCCCAGAAACCCTAGCCAGTTTACCAGCTGTTAGGATTTCTGGGAGTTGAAGGCCAAAACATCTGGGGACCCACAGGTTGAGAACCACTGCCTATATGAAAAGCCTGCATGACAATTTGTGCTTGTTCTGTTATGGCGAGGATACAGCAGGACCTTCCTTGCGAATGCCTTCTGAGAGAACTCTGAGGAAAAATACAAATTACTGAGCTCTGAATCAGGAGATTCAAGTGTCACTTTCACCACCTTCATGAATATATTAGGTGACCTTACATTAGAGTTAATTTTTTCACATCCTCCATAGGGGATAAAAGTACTGACTTAATTGAGAGCAAGAAGCCCCCAGTGGCTCACTGGGTTAAACCCTTGTGCCAGCAGGATTGCTAACCGACAGGTCAGCAGCTTGAATCCCGGGAGAGTGGATTGAGCTCCCTCTGTCAGCTCCAGCTTGTCCGAACACTTCTGCCCCTACGTCCCACATCGCAATTTAAGATCATCCGGGGAGACCCTGCTCTCACTCCCGTCAACAGTGCAAATGCGGCTGGCAGGGATGAGGAGCAGGGCCTTCTCGGCTGTGGCCCCCCGCCTATGAAACACACTCCCAAAGGAGGTAAGATCTGCTCCCTCGCTCCTGACCTTTAGAAAAAATAAATAAATCATGGTTCTGGGACCAGGCCTTCGGACAATAGATATATGCAGCTTTTCGTGGGACAAGGACTAGAACGGTGACTCAACTGATGAGATTGTTTTATGGTTTTAATAGCTGTTTTGATATTTGGTGATGTACTGTTTTTAATATGATTTATGTCTAAAGTGCGGTTTTACTATTGTAGTTGTAAGGCATTGAATTTTTGCCATTATCTATGTGCAAACCGCTTTGAGTCCCCTTAGGGGTGAGAAAAGCGGTATATAAATACTGTAAATAAATAAACAAAATAAATAAATGTGGGGACATGAAAGAAGCCCCCCACAAGAATGGTAAACATCAAACATTCGGGCATGCCCCGGGCAATGTCTTTGCAGACGGCTAATTATCTCACACTAGAAGTGACTTGCAGTTTCTCAAGTCCCTCCTGGCACGAATAAAAAAAGAGATCAATTCCAATTATTGTTAACCTCTGCCCAAGTATCTACATATACTCCTACTATGCAGATTTAGCAAGGACAGTCCTGATTAGAATACTCTGCCATCCATTTATTCAGCTGCTTTTAATGTGTCCCAGTTTCTTCTGAAAACTGCATTTGAACTGCAAAAGCAGTCTATATTCTAAGTCAATGAGGAAGAGAAAACAAGGAAGGCAGACTTCTGCAGCCTCTGCTCTTCCCCATGAATACCTTTGGCCATCTTTACCCACACACTGATGTTATCTGGCCACACTTGTTCCAGTTTTCATTTGTGACACATGTATTGTTAGTTGTTGAGTCTCTTCAAGTCCTTTCTGATCTGTGACAACACACTTTCTCTCTAAGCTATCAGAACCATGCCCTGCATTTTAACTGGAATACAGACATTGTAGTCTCTATTTCAGAGAGTATTCCTTGACTGAGGCCCCTTCTACACTGCTTTGAGCTGGATTATATGGCAGTGTAGACTCATATAATCCAGTTAAAAGCAGATAATCTGGATTATCTACTTTTATAATCTGGATTATATAGCAGTGTAGAAGGGGCCTAAGAATACCCTGGTAAATTTATGGGTTCACTATAAGTTGTCAGATGACTTGAAGGCACATACATACTGTATACATACACTATTTCTTTTTGTCAATCTGTGTTTATGCTTTCATTGTATTTGAGCTTTTTATTTAAATATTGTTAATTGCATAGGATGTAACCTTTTAGGATAAAGATAGTAGGGGTGTGCCTGTGGACTCATTTAAAACACAACACACAGAGATCCAGATAAAGCAGATTGTGTATGCTTCCTGTACTCCTACCAAGAAATAAAATCAGGAATGAGTTAGAGAGAGGTGAAGAGGCATGTTTCATTCAAGCTGTACTCACCAGTCTTCACCCCATTGATATACATTAAACTGTATTTAAAACAGAACTGTAAATTGATTAATAGCTTTTAAATGGCACTTTGATTTAAATAGTTGTGGGCTGCCACCAGAAAGTCTGGATATAAATGTTGTATATGGAATTTATTATTATTATTAAGGGATGATCTCTGCACTTTTTTTTTTGTCGTGTCAGGAGCGACTTGAGAAACTGCAAGTCGCTTCTGGTGTGAGAGAACTGGCTGTCTGCAAGGACGTTGCCCAAGGGACGCCTGGATGATTTGATGTTTTTATCATCCTTGTGGGAGGCTGCTCTCATGTCCCCGCATGAGGAGCTGGAGTTGATAGAGGGAGCTCATCCGCCTCTCCACAGATTTGAACCTGTGACCTGTCGGTCTTCAATCCTGCCGGCACAGGGGTTTAACCCACTGCGCCACCAGGGGCTCCTGCACTGGTATGAAGACATACCCAATGTAGTCTCACATCATTTCACAGCTCCTCAGACTCTTTCCAACTTGTTGTTTGCTACTTTATATAGGTAAAGGTAAAGGTTTCCCCTTGATTTTAAGTCTAGTCATGTCCAAGTCTGGGGGTTGGTGCTCATCTCCATTTCTAAGGCAAAGAACTGGCATTGTCCGTATACACCTCCAAGGTCATGTGGCCCGCAGGAATGCATGGAGCGCCGTTACCTCCCCGCCGAGGCGGTACCTACTGATCTACTCACATTTGCATGTTTTTGAACTGCTAGGTTGGCAGAAGGTGGGGCTAAGAACAGGAGCTCACCCCACACCCCGGATTTGAACCACCGACCTTTCGGTCAACAAGTTCAGCAGCTCAGCAGTTTAACCCGCTGCACCACCAGGGGCTCCATTTTATATAGGGCATCTTTTTAATTATGCCATTGTATATAATAGGACTTGAATATCCATGGGTTTTGGTATTCTTGG